AGTTTTTTGGCCTGCTGGGCTTTGTGCAGTGGGGGACCTGTACTGCCGTCCTGCCGTTAGGGCTGTTTCCTGTGTTCTGTTCCCCTTCTTACTGGGGGGCGGGTAGCTCCATCCCACTGGCTTTTTGGCTTTCTGGGCGTCAGCCAGTGCTTCGGCCTAGATCCATGCTGCAGCCCTGGCGCTGGTGGAAGTTGCTGTTCTGCCTTGTTCAGGCAGCTCGCTAATGCTTTTCAGCCTGGTGAAGATCTCCTGTTTTGTGGGTTGTGTAGGGCTTGGGTAGAGCGCTGTATTCGAACCGTAGTCCCAGAGGGGGAGATCCCCCGGTCCTCCGGTGGGTTGCATGCTCGTCCTGGGTGGGGCAGTGCCCACCTTGCTGCAACTTGCCCTATTTGGTTTATACCCATTGTCCGACCAGACCCACAAAATGAGCCTGGTACCTCGTTTGGAATTGTGGAGACCACTTGGCTTCTGCGTCTCTCTCTCTCTGGGAGCTGCTTTCCGGAGCTGCCTCTTATTCTGCCCTTTTGGGATCCCGGGAAATCTTTTCTTTTACATCACAACATTATTATGTGAATTGTTAATAGTACAAACAAAAATATAGAAATGCAATATAAGAATACAGCTAAGTGCAAAATGGTGACTTTTTTCTCTTCAAGAGTAAAAGTACTTTTTTCTCTTCTAGTGAAATAGACTGCATAGGTAGAAACAGATAGGCAAAAGTACAATTTTGCCTAGAAATGATCTGTAAATGCTTCTTTCCCCATTGCTACTTACGAAAAATATAAAAAGGGAGTTAAAGGAGAGTTTCCTTGTTGGTTCCCATCCCACCGTATGAAAGATGCTATATTCTATTTTGGCAGAGCCAATATATTGAAAATATCTAAATTAAATGTTGTTACAAAAATGAATTAGTAAAGAGATTCTAGCTAAGGAGGGCACTAAATGAGGATAATATATATTTAAAGAATCCAAAACCGACAAACAAAGGTTGCTATAAAAAAGCTCTGGATGCACTTTGTAAGCATATAGTTTTTTTTCTTTTTTCATTTGTCTTTCTAAACAATGGAAGGGTCAACTGTGTTAGACTAAATTACGCTATTGGCTGGATGCAGTGGTTCATGCCTGTAATCCCAGCACTGTGGGAGGCTGAGGCAGTGGTGAAATCAGGAGTTAGAGACCAGCCTGGCCAACTGGTGAAACCCTATCTCTACTAAAAATACAAAATTAGCCAGGCATGGTGGCATATGCCTGTAATCCCAGCTACTTGGGTGGCTGAAGCAGGAGAATTGCTTGAACCTGGGAGGCGGAGGTTGCAGTGAGCCCAGACTGTGCCATTGCACTTCAGCCTGGGCAGCAAGAGTGAAACTGTATTTCAGAAAAAAAATATATATATATATATGTATATATATATATAATATGTAATAATAAATATAAATATAAACAATAAATTTATTATTTAAAATAAATATTTCAAAATAAATTTTATTTCTTTAAAAATTAAACATTTTATTTAAACATTATTTAAAAATAATATTTATTGTTATATATTATGTTAGTATATATAATTACATTATTGTACATGCTACATTGACTGGAACCTTTGTATTATAATTATTGTAGAAAAAAACTTAGTTTGCATCATATTATGGCATTTTATCCCCACTGAAAACCTTGCAGCATCCTTTTATTTTGGAATATCCTGTAAACAATTATGCCACCAGGACCTGATTGTATAACAATAAAATGTTATCTTGCATTAGATTGAGGATATCTGTTCAATAAAAGACAAAAAGGAAAATGTGGGAAATGTACATAGAACTGTTACTTTCTAAGTGCACAACACCGTAGACAATTTAAGGCATCATAATCTCCATCAAGAACGGTAACCACAAAAGTTTGTCATGTTAAATTCATCATTATGGATAAAACTGGTGGAGACTGATAAAACAGATCCATCTAACACTGATGTCCAAGCTGGTATTGGCAACTAATGCGTAACTGGTGGTCAATAGAGTGTTTAAAAGATCTTCACTTTTTATTGTTCTTTTCCAGGGGTCTTGAAGAGTTCTGTTATAAAATAAGTTGTTGAGTTGGGCTTTCCAGTTTGCTTTCTCATCCTCAAACCGATGACGTTTTTCCTCTAATTGTTTGTGCTATGCTTCTAAATTCCTTTTTGCTCTTAGCACCACTATTGGAGCTCAGCTTCAGAGTCCTTTAGTTTTTGAACTTTTTCTCTGACCTTCATCTTGAACACCTGCTCTATATGCATCTCCATCTTCTTCATTTTAACTTCATGATGTCTTCTTTCCTCTTCCATTTGTGCCAGAGGGCTGCCCTTTATTCTTGCTGTTATCAACTCCATTGTAAATCAGCTACCAGTTTTCTGCTTCTGTAGTTTTCATAGTGGGCATTATCGGGGACATCTTTCAAGTCTTACATGTGTGTTCTTTATTCCTTAGAATTGTAAAATTACAGTGTTCACCTCTTTCTTTCTTTCTTTCTTTCTTTCTTTCTTTCTTTCTTTCTTTCTTTCTTTCTTTCTTCTTTCTCTTTCTTTCTTTCTTTCTTTCTTTCTTTCTTTCTTTCTTTCTTTCTTTCTCTCTTTCTCTCTCTTCTTTTTCTCTTTCTTTTCTTTCTTCTTTCTTTTTCTCTTTCTTTTCTTTTCTTTTCTTTTCTTTTCTTTTCTTCTTCTTTCCTCTCTTTCTTTCTCTTTCTTTCTTTCGCTGGAGTCTCGCTCTGTGGCCCAGGCCAGAGTTCAGTGGCACTTCTCGGCTCATTGCACCTCCACCCCACCAGGTTCAAGCAGTTTTCTGTCTCAGCCTCCCGAGTAGCTGGGATTCAGGCGCCTGCCACCAGGCCTGGCTAATTTTTTTGTATTTTTAGTAGAGATGGGGTTTCACCATCTTGGCTAGGCTGGTCTTGATCTCCTGACCTTGTGATCCACCCACCTCAGCCTCCTAAAGTGCTGGGATTATAGGCGTCAGCCACCGCGCCCAGCCTGTTCACCATTTTCAACATCAGCAACACTCCAGGATACTGTCTTCTTCTGACTCTCTTGCCATTTAACTTCAATGGTAGTATTACTGCCTACCATAGCAAGAGGTAAACAGTCTTTTTTTTTTTTTTTTTTTTGCGACAGAGAATGGCTGTCACCCAGGCAAGCCTGGTGATAGCTGGTTGTCCAAGATAGAATTTTATAGTTCAACTTTAAGTAATTCTGTGAGTAAGTTTAATCTGGTAATCTGGAGTGCAGTGGCTGATAGCTAACTGCAACGTCTGCCTCCTGAGTTCAAGTGATTCTTGTGACTCAGCCTCCTAAGTAGCTAGGATTATAGGCACATGCCACCATGCCTATCTAATTTTTGTATTTTTAGTAGAGATGGAGTTTCGTCATGTTGACCAGGCTGGTTTCAAACACCTGGCCCTAAGTGAACTGCCTGCCCTGTTCTCCCAGAGTGCTGGGATTACAGACATGCACTACTGTACCTTTATCTTTTTAAAAGGTTATTTTCTTCATCATGTTTTTTTAGAAATTCATATATTTTAATTTTATGTTCTTGGATTTCTTTCATTATCTGTTTTTAAACTGTTGGCATTTCTCTGGTATCAGCATGTCTGCTTTGGCAATATGTGGGATGATACTCACTTTTTCAAGCAAAAGCTTCATAAACTTAGTATCCAGTGGTTTAAGTCCATGTCCTGAAGGAGCAATGAAATATAAACAACACTGCACCCTGTTATTAGGCATATGATATCTGTTTTATCACAATTCTGTTTTATCACCATTTAGGTGGTCTTCACATTTACTATCAGTGTATTCAGTAACCAACAATTACTATTACCTGCTGCAACTCTAAATCCTGGGGTATCAACTCTTGTGAGCAGCAACTGAACACCATCTTCTTTGATTAAAACTTTGCATAGTTCCACCTGCACAGTCTTTCTAATTCTATGGCAAGAATCTGAACACTCTGGAGAATACAAGTCTGTGAGGAATGAGTTGATTAATGTGAAGTTTCCCAATCCAAATTTACCCACTACCATAAGTATGAATTCTATCCCTCTCTTCCCTCTCTTCACTGACTTCCTGGACACTTGATTTGGGAGACTGGAAAATCCCACATAGACTTCAGGGTTCTTCTTTTGAGCTACCCTGCTGCTGTTGATGCTTCTTTCCTTAGCAACAGATCTCTTGCTGACTGACACATCCTCTCCCCACTCCATGACCATCCCCAGGTGGAAATTTTATTTAGAGATTAAATAAAATATATTCCAGAGATTTAAAGATAAATGAAATATTATTATAAATTTGTTCAGACCTGTAGAATGTACAACAGTAAGAATGAGCCCTAAGGTAAACTCTAGACTTTGGGTGATAGTGATGTATCAGTGTAGATTCATCAGTTGTGATAAATGTACCACTTTGGTGGTTTGTTTTTGTTTTTGTTTTTTCCTAGACAGAGTCTTGCTCTGTCCTCAAGGCTGGAGTGCAATGGCATGATCTCAGCTCACTGTAGCCTCCACCTCCGGGTTCAAATGATTCTCCAGCCTCAGTCTCCTGAGTAACTGGGATTACAAGCGCCCACCACCACACCCAGCTAATTTTTGTGTTTTTAATAAAGACGAGGTTTCACCAGGTTGGCCAGGCTGGCCTCGAACTCCTGACCTCAGGTGATCCACCACCTCAGCCTCCCAAAGTACTGGGATTACAGGTCTGAGCCACCACGCCTGGCCAAATGTACCACTTTGGTAATAGAGGCTGATAATGTGGGAAGCTATGCATGTGTAGGATGGGAAATATGGCTGTACCTTGGAATTTTGCTGTGAACCTAAAACTACTCTAAAAATAGTCTTTAAAAAATCATAAAATAAAATTAAAAAATGAAAGGAATAGACTTTCAGACAAAATATAAATGTAATAGTAATAAAAATATGAAACGTGGTTGTTTTATATGCTAGAAGGTAAAAATTTTAATTTTATAATCTTTTTTCTCTTACAGACATTCCACTTCTTCCATCTATTACATCTCTGAGTCCAAATGAAAATGAAGAGAAGACTGGACCTTTTGTTGTACACTGGCTAAACAATAAAGAACTGCATTTTACTTTGTCCATGGAAGTTTTTTTACAGCAACTTAGAAAAAGTTTTGAGCAACCATCTTCTGAGGCCAGTGCAGAAGATTCTAATCAGGCAGATGTAAAATCCGATGAAGGTAAAATTTTAAGAAAAAATAAAAATTTAAAGTTTTGTTCAAAATAACAAACATGTTTGTATTAGTGTAAAACTAGCTACCTGTAGGAAATAAACTCCAAAATTGCAATGACATGATACAAATATGGACTAGCTAGCTTATTTAATAATCTAGTGTAGGTATTTCTGTTCCAGGTAGCTTTCTTCCACATGGTGATTTAAGGGCTCAAAGTTCTCACTCTTCTGGTTTTGTTAGTCCTTAGGACTTTCCTATTTAAAGGACTATCTGTAGATGAGTGGCATTGGTGTTACCCGGGAGCTCGTTAGAAGTGCATGTCTCAGTGTCCACATAGACCTACCAAACCAGAATCTGCAGTTTAATGAAATTTCCAGATGATTTGTATGTACATTAAAGTTTCAGAAGCATTGGAACTAGGACCTTAAATTTCTCTGCCTTTGGCCTTCAGTTGGTGTAGAGAGAGAGGTAGAGAGAAAGAAAGCATAGCTGTTTCTTAACTATGTTGACTCAGAATTGACACCTATCACTTGTACTGTCATTCAACTGGCAAAAACTAGTCACAGGGCCATGTAGTTCCTGACTATATAGTCTTTATATACTGAGAAATAGGAAGTAAGAGACAGTGGTGGGCAGCTAGCCATCTCTGCGACAGTCTGTGGTTCATACATGTGTTTGTTTTTTTAAAAAAGTTTTAATTTCAAGATTGGTCATGATCATTAGGGAAGAAAAACAGGTAAACAGATGGTTATAAAGTTTCCACATTGTTAAGTTTGATGAGTATCCTTCCAGTTTGAATTCTTTTCTTATCTTCATATAAACATCTAAATACAGATGCTTAAAAGTTGTACTATGGGTGTCATTTTTATACAGAAATAATGTTCTGCACTTTGTTTTTGGTTTTGAGACACAATCTCGCTTTGTTACCCAGGCTAGAGTGCAGTGGTGCAGTCTTGGCTCACTGCAACCTCAGCCTCCCGGATACAAGCAGTTCTCCTGCCTTAGCCTCCCTAGTAGCTGGGATTATAGGCACCTGCCACCATGCCTGGCTAATTATTGTATTTTTAGTAGAGACAGGGTTTCACCATTTTGGCCAGGCTGGTCTCTAAACTTCTGACCTCAGGTGATCCACCTGCCTGGGCCTCCAAGAGTGCTTAGATTACAGTTGTGAGCCATCACACATGGTTTGCACTTTGTTTTAATTCAGTCAGTAATGGGCAGTTTTTCATTTCATTGTACTTAACAGCTGCTAAGTATTCCATGTCGAAGAGAAATATCTAACAGTTCTTCTACTGATAGTCATTTAAATTGATTTAAATTGTTTTTCATTATCCTAGGTACAATGACATGTCTTTTTCATTTTTGTATGAATTTACTGTAACATTGATTTCTAGATGTAGAATTTCCAGGGAGTGTACCAATTTTAAATATGGATAACTTCTGCCAAATTGCCCTCCAGAAATGTTTTATCAGTTTATACTTTCTCTAAGTGTATCTGAATGATGTTTTACATCCTTATCAACACTGCATGTTTTCATTATATTACTTTTTTTTTTTGGCCAGTTAAGGGGACAATGGACATCTTGTTTTACTTTGCATTTTCTTGATGCAAATTAAGCAAAATATCTTTTATAGTATTTTAGCCCTCCTGTGGCTTGGCTTTTAACACCCTTTGTCTAATTTCCTACTGAGTTATTTTTTTTTTCTTATTGATTTGTATATCTTGACTTACTTTTTAAATCTGGTAAATAGTCAAAACTTGTAAAATATGTATCTCTTTAGAGAAAGGCTCTATATTGCTAACCAGGAATTGGGGGAGGGTGTAAGGTCTGGGATTTTTGAAAGAGGAAAGAACATACTTATTTACCTGTATTGATTAGTTGGTATACAGTTTATTTTTTATTATTTTTTATTACTAAGGTGTTGCAGGAAACATGGAAATTGGCACCATAAGTGTTTTCCCTTGAAATGGTTTATTTAAGATGTCATAACAGTTACAAGTCCATATCCCTAGAGGATAACTTAGTGTAGCATACTGAGGTTTGGATAAACTTGGTACTTCGAAGAAAGCATAAATTACACTCAAATAATATATTTTTAAAACTCAGTCCCAGTTATAGTCTCAATTCCAATTTCCTCATTTTAGCATGAGCAAAACTGAGGTCCAGAAAAGTGGTGTGTGTTACTAAAGGTTACCTGAGTGGTTAAATGTAGATCATCCAGGTTGAGACGCCAGTTTACTTGTTTTCCAGTTTAATATTATGTCTTCTAACAGTTATCCACTGACTCAGTCCTGTATGGCTACTGATTACTCACTTAACTCCAGCGATCTTATATACCTGGAGCAAAGTTACTTTTAATGGGGAGCCCATTTCTTATTAATATGAAAACTGTTAGTTTTTCATCTTGAATGCATTTATAAAGATTATTTTTGTGTGTGTGTTTGTACTAATTTTATTACTTTTACTAGAGCATTTTATGTTTCTCACATTCAAGGCAAAGAAATAAAACATAATCTGAAGAAAAATATATACTTATTAAAAATAAAGAGTCTTCTTCAATATGCAGATCTGGGAATATTGTACACTAGGGAATACTTAATGGCTCAAGTAGATTAAAGTACCAGTTTGATGCTGATCCACTGAATAGAATCTCCTTCATATTTGATGACTAGACTAACTCTGTAGTGGCTATGATTTTAACCATTTTGGTGATATCCCCAGATCTCACTAAGAAAAGGCTCTATACCAGAATATATAACAATAGATCTGGCTATAAATTATATCTATAGGCTCTTTATTATTATTATTATGATTATTATTATTGAGATGGCATCTCGCTCTGTCACCGAGGCCAGAGTGCAGTGGCACAATCTTGGCTCACTGCAACCTCTGCCTCCTGGGTTCAAGCAATTTTCCTGCATCAGCCTCCCAAGCAGTTGGGACTACAGGCGTGTGCCACTATGCCCGACTAATTTTTTGTATTTTTAGTGGAGATGGGGTTTCACCACGTTAGCCAGGATGGTCTTGATCTCCTGACCTCGTAATCTGCCTGGCTCAGCCTCCCAAAGTGCTGGGATTACAGGCGTGAGCCACCATGCCTGGCCAGCCTCTTTATAATTATAAGGTGGCAAAAGAGGCCTTTTCTTGTGTCCATGGTCAATGAAAGTATTATTGTGGCCTAAAGATGCTGGATTGGTTTTGTGTTATAATGAAGATAAGGTATGTATACCACTGTCAGATTAAGAAACTTCCACAACTTGACTCAGTTGTTCAAATAATGGAGCAAGTTTCTTTTCTGGGTTGACAGTTAGTCCTATATTGGCATTGCTGCTGGCTATGAAACTGACTGCCAAAGGTAAACACTTAAATTGAACTACTTGGTAGGTGTTATAGTAACAAATGATACTTTTATTTTTTGAAAGTCCAAGTTTTCTCCTTTTGTCTGTGCAAGGGCAAGAGTAGATAAGAAACTAGATCTCAATGCATGCTCTGGAACATTGTCATTAGCCATTACATTTACTCGTTTATTATAAAGGATATTGCAAAGGATACAGATGAAAAGATGTGTACGGTGAGGCATGGCAGAAAGGGCATGGAGCTTCCGTGCTCCTCTTAGGCATGAACCCTCCATGTATTCAGATATCCAGAAGCTCAGTAATTCTTAATTTATAGTAATAGCCTGATTGTATTTACTTGCTTTGTAAATTCTTTTGCTTATAGAAATGGATGATGGTGTTGATGATCTGAAAATAAATCCTGAAAAGAAGGAATTAGGCTGTGATAAAACGGTACCAAACTCAAGTTTTACATCGTTATCGTCAGCTGCCATTGACCATCAGATTGAAGTACTTCTGTCTGAATGGAGTAAAAATGCAGATATGCTATTTAGTATTCATCCCATGGATGGTTCTTTGCTAGTTTGGCATGTGGATTGGCTGGATGAATACCAGCCTGGTATGTTTCGCCAAGTACAGGTACTACTATAATTTCTAGATAACTACTTTCTTGTTTATGTGGGTACTGTTTTGTAATATATCTTTATATAATTTTATGTGTTCTGACACTTACATTCTTTATTCTAGGTGTCCTTTGTTTCCAGAATTCCAGTAGCTTTCCCTACAGGTGATGCAAACTCTCTCTGTAAAAGCATAATGATGTATGCTTGTACCAAGAATGTTGACTTGGCTATTCAGCAAGGGAAACAAAAACCTTCTGGTCTCACCCGTTCTACATCAATGCTTATTTCTTCTGGTCACAATAAATCATCTAATAGTTTAAAATTAAGTATTTTTACCCCTAATGTTATGATGATTTCAAAACACGCCGATGGTTCTCTGAATCAGTGGCTGGTCAGTTTTGCTGAGGAATCTGCTTTTTCTACTGTTCTCAGTATTTCCCACAAATCCAGATATTGTGGTCATCGTTTTCATCTTAATGATTTAGCTTGCCACTCAGTGTTACCATTATTGCTAACAACTTCACACCATAATGCATTAAGGACACCGGATGTTGATAACCCAAAGCAACCTTTTGATGCTTTAAACACTGAAGACTGCTCTTTGACACAACAAAATAAAAGCACTGTTGACATGGCATTTCAGGATCCCAATGCAGTTTACAGTGAGCTTATTCTTTGGAGGGTTGACCCAGTTGGGCCATTGTCTTTTTCGGGAGGAGTTTCTGAGCTTGCCCGGATTAATTCTCTTCATGTTTCTGCCTTTTCCAATGTGGCATGGCTACCCACTCTTATACCCAGTTATTGTCTTGGTAAGTATTCTGGCATTTATTTCAGTAATTTAGATTTGCTGACATTATCGTAAAAGGGTGAAATTTTAATATTTGTAAATACTTTCTAGGTGCATACTGCAACTCTCCTAGTGCATGCTTTGTAGCCAGTGATGGACAATATCTGAGATTATATGAAGCAGTTATTGATGCTAAGAAACTTTTATCTGAGCTTTCTAACCCTGAAATTTCTGTAAGTAATGTCTTTTAAAACAGCTTAAGTATATAATATGGTGTTTTTAGATACTTTATCTATATTTATTGGGCATGTTCTAGAATTGTGGCCTAGAATTTATAATAAGCATTTGTATCTTTGTTTTATTTTTTCACATTTGTATTGTACTCTTATAATGATTCTAAGCACCTTTAAAAGGAAACCATTTCTTTCACTCTTTGAAAGTAGAGTCTAGAAGTTATATTGGCCCATCTGCAATTATTTTATAGTCAAGAGGAGCTGGGACAACAGGAATAGAATTTTAATCTTAAGCATGAAAGGAAACAGCCCTTAGCTTGCTTCCAATTTAGCCCTTAGCTTGCTTCCAATGAGTTCTTTGAGTACTATTGCAAGGCTTTTGCCTTATGACAGCTACATTTCTTCTCATACCCATCTAATAGCAACCTTCTAACTACATTGTCTTGGGACATTCAACAGGCAAGTATTAGGTTTTGTTGATTTTTCTTTTAGTATCCCCAGAGGCAGCCTTCAGCTGTACCAAACTTTATATTTAGGAGATTTAAGCCATCTCCCTGACTACCAATTAATGTATTTGTTAATTCTCTGCTTACAGAGTTGCATAAATGTCAGTGATCTGTTCCAATCCTGTTTTTTTGTAAGCTAATTTTAGTGCATAATTTTGCAGAACACGAGGTTTTCCAAAGCAAGTATATAGTGTTACAGTAGAAATGCATATATTTTTTAGGGGGGGTCTTCAATTAGGCATTTTTAAGTAATGGGAATTTAGATGTGAAGAAAACAGGTAAACATTTTGTATCATAGAGCTTATATTCTGGTGAAGGGAGGTAGGAAGAAAACATAAAAATATATTAATTAAAAATACTATGGAGAGAAACAGAGTTGCAGAAGAATTAGGGATTGCCAAGTAAGTTGCTATACAGGGAAAAATTCACAGAAAAGTTACCATTTGAACAAAGATCTGAAGGAGATGTGGGAGCTAGATATGTAGATATTCATTAAAGGGAGAGTAATTTGGAAAGAGGGACAGCCAATCCAGAGATCCTGAGGCCAGAGCGTGTTTGGTATGTGGTATGGTTTAGCTCTGTGTCCCACCCAAATCTCATCTCGAATTATAATCCCGTGTGTTGAGGGAGGGACCTGGGTAGGAGATGACTGGATCATGGGGGCAGTTCTCCCATCCTGTTCTCATGATAGTGAGGGAGTTCTCACAAGATCTGATGGTTTTAAAAGTGGCAGTTTCTCCTGTGCACGTGTTCTCCTCCAACACCTGTGAAGAGGTGCTTGCTTATCCTTGGCTTTCTGCCATGATTAAAAGTGTCCTGAGGCCTCCTGAACCATGCAGAACTGTGAGTCAATAAAACTTACTTTATTTATAAATTACCCAGTCTTAGGTATTTTTTTATAGAGTGTGAAAACAGTATAATTGGTACCAGGAGTGGGGTACTGCTATAAGGATAACCCCAAAATGTGGCAGTGATGTTGGAACTGGTAATAGGCAGAGCTTAGAGCAGTTTGGAGGGCTCAGAAGAAGACAGGAAGATGTGGGAAAGTTTGGAACTTCCTAGAGACTTGCTGAATAGTTTTGACCAAAATGCTGATAGTGATATTGACAACGAAGTCCAGGCTGAGGTGGTCTTAGACGGAGATGAAGAACTTATTGGGATCTGGAGCAAAGGTCACTCATGTTAAGTTTTAGCAAAGAGACTGGCAGCATTTTGTCCCTGCTCTAGAGATCTATGGAACTTTGAACTTGAGAGAGGTGATTTATGTTATTTGGCAGAAGAAATTTCTAAGCAGCAAAGCATTCAAGAGGTTACCTGGCTTATTCTGAATGCATTCAGTTGTATGTGTTCACAAAGACATGGTTTGAAATTGAAATTTAAGTTAATTTATGTTTAAAAGGGAAGCAGAACATAAAGGTTTAGAAAATATACAGCCTGACTATGTGGTAGAAAAGAAAAACCCATTCCTGGAGAAGAATTCAAGCTGGCTACAGAAATTTGCATAAGTAACCAGGAGTTGAATGTTAATAGCCAAGGCAATGGGGAAAATGTCTCCAGGGCATGTCAGAGATCTTCATGCAGCACCTCCCATCACAGGCTCAGAGGCCTAGGAGTGAAAATGGTTTCATGGGCCAGACCCAGGGCCCAGCTGCTCTGTGCAGCCTTGGGACTTAGTACCCTTCCTCCTAGCTGCTCCAGCTCTAGCCATGGCTCAAAGAGTCTATGGTACAGCTCAGGCTGTTGCTTCAGAGGGTGCAAGCCCCAAGACTTGGCAGCTTCCATGTGGTGTTGGACCTGCTGGAATGCAGAAGATGAGAGTTGAGGCTTGGCAGCAACCACCTAGATTTCAGAGGATGTATGGAAACACCTGGATGTCCAGGTAGAAGTCTGCAGCAGGGGAGGAGTCTTCATGGAGAACCTTTACTAGGGCAATGCAGAGGAAAAATGTGGAGTTAGAGCCTCCTACAGAGTCCCCACTGGGCCACTGCCTCATGGAACTGTAAGAAGAGGGCCACCATCCTGCAGACTCCAGAAAGGTAGAGCCACTGACAGCTTGTACCATTTGCCTGGAAAAGCCATAGGCACTCAATGCCAGCCCATGAAAGCAGCAACAGGTACTGTACCCTGCAGAGGCACAGGAGTAGAGCTTCCCAAGTCCATGAGAACCCACCCACACTTGTGTCAGTGTGCTCTGGATGTGAGACATGGAGTCAAAGGAGATTTGGGACATAAGATTTAATGACTGCTTGGCCAATTTTGGATTTGCATGGAGCCTGTGGCTCCTTTATTCTAGCCATTTCTCTTATTTGGAACAGAACATTTACCCAATGCCTGTGCCCCCATTGTATCTTGGAAGTAACCAACTTGCTTTTGATTTTACAGGCTCATAGGCAGAAGAGACTTCCCTTGTCTCAGATGAGACTTTGGACTTTGCCTTTGGGGTTATTGCTGGAAGGAGTTAAGACTTTGTGGGACTATTTGGAAGGCATGATTGGTTTTGCAATGTGAAAAGGGGATTTGGGAGGGGCCTGGGTAGATTGATATGGTTTATCGCTCTGTACTTACCCAAATCTCATCTTGAATTGTAATCTCCACATGTCAAGGGAGGCACCTGGTGAGAGGTGATTGGATCATGGGGGCAGTTTCCTTCATGCTGTTTGCATGATAGTGAGCAAGTTCTCACAAGATCTGATGATTTTTAAAGTGGCAGTTTCCCCTGCATGCTTTCTTTCCTGCCACCTTGTGAAGAAGATGCTTACTTCTTCTTCACTTTCTGCCATGATTGTAAGTTTCCTGAGGGCTCCCCTGCCATGCAGAACTGTGAGTCTGTTAAAATTTATTTATAAATTACCCAGTCTCAGATATTTATTTATAGTAGTGTGAAAATAGACTAGCAGTATGTAAAGGAACAACAAGAAGGCCATTGTGACTGGAGCAGAGCATGTGAGGTAGAAAGTAGTCAGGGATAAAGTAAAAAAGTTAGCCTGGTCAGGTAATATGAAGTCTCATAGGCCATTGTTGTAACTTCAGCTTTTACTCTGAATAACATGGAAACGATAGAAGAGGTATGAAATGATTTAGGTTTTAAATGTATTCCCCTGGTGGGTATATAGATCATACATGGGATTCAGAAGTAGATCCAGAGAGACCAATTTAGGAACCAATAGTCTAGGAGAGAGAAAAATGGGGCTTAGAATGTAGCAAGTGGTAACAGCAGAGATGATAAGAATGGCCAAATTGTAGATGTTGTTATAGAACATTGAATAGCTAGGAATGGTGTGGATACGGTATGTGTGTGTGAGATATGGATATGGTATGGTATGTGTGTGAGAAAAAAGAGGACTCCAAAGGTTTATGATTGACTATAAGGAAGAATAGAATTGTTGTGAATTGAGATGTGGAAGAATGTAGAAGTAGCCAGTTTTGAGGGGCAGGGAAATTCAAGAGTCTGACTTTGGCCATGTTAATTTTGAAATGACTGTTTGACGTCCAAGATACGTAGTAGGCTAGCATCTGGAATTCAGTGGGAGGTCTGGCCTGAAGATATACAGTGGTTGTCAGCATAAAAATTTAAGGTTGTGGAAGTGGATAAGATCGTCGAGGGTGAGACTATAGTTAGAAAACAGAAATGATAGGCCAGGAGTGGTGGCTCACACCTGTAATCCCAGCACTTTTGGAGGTCAAGGCAGGCAGATCGCTTGAGGTCAGAAGTTTGAGACCAGCCTGGCCAATGTGGTGAAACCTCATCTACTAAAAATATAAAAATTAGCCAGATGTGGTGGCAGGCACCTGTAGTCCTAGCTATTCGGGAGGATGAGGCAGGAGAATCAATTGAACCTGATTGACAGAGTTTGCAGTGAGCCAAGATCACAGCACTGCACTCCAATTCTTAAGATACCATCTTAAGAAGGGATAGAAAGATTGAATGTGTGCTCACTTCAGCAGCACATAGACTAAAATTGGAATAATACAGAGAAGATTAGCATGGTTCCTGTGCAAGGATGACATGCAGATCTGTGAAGTGTTCTGTATTTCTCCAGAAGAGGCTGGGGACCTATATTCAACATCCTAAAATAAAAAAAGTCTTCAACCAAGAATTTCATATTCAGCCAAACTAAGCTTCCTAAGTTAAGAAGAAATAAGATCCTTTTTAGATAAACAAATGTTGAGGGAGTTTGCTACTACCAGACCTGCCTTACAAGTGGTCTTGAAGGGAGTACTAAATATTGAATGGAAAGATCACTACCACCTAATATAAAAACACACTTAAATACACAGACCAGTTACACTATAAAGCAACCACACAAACTAGCATAATTACCAGCTAAAAACAATAAAAATAATCCACACATATCAGTACAAACTTTGAATGTTAACAGGCTTAATGACCCACATAGAAGGTATAGGTGGCAAGCTGGATTTAAAAAAAAGGCAAGACCCAATGGGATGTGGTCTTCAAGAGACCCATCTCACATGTAATGATACCCATAGGCTCAAAATGAAGGGATAGAGAAAAAATCTACCAAGTAAATGAAAATCAGAGAAAAGCGGGGTTGCCATCGTGATTTCAGACAAAGCAGAGTCTAAACCAACGAAGATTTTAAAAAAGGCAAAGAAGGGCATTACACAATGGTAAAGGGGTCATTCAACAAGAAGACCTAACTATGGTAAATATATATGCAACCAATACAGAAGCACCCAGATTCATAAAGCAACTTCTTAGAAACCTACAAAGAGACATAGACTCCCACACAATAATAATGGGAGACTTCAGCACTCCACTGACAGTATTAGACAGATCATCGAGGCAGAAAGTTAACAAAGATATTCAAGACCTGAACTCAGCATTAAACCAAATGGATCTGACAGACCTCAACAGAACTCTCCACCCAGAACAACAGAATGTATATTTCTTTCATTGCCATGTGGCACATACTCTAAATTGGACCACAGAATTGGACATAAAACAATCCTCAGCAAATGCAAAAGAACCAAATCCTACTAAACACTCTGTTGGACCACAGAATAATCAAAATAGAAGTTAACATTTTAAAAATAGCTTCAGTCATACAATTACATGGAAATTAAAAACATGCTCCTGAATGACTTTTGGGTAAATAGTGAAATTAAGGTAGAAACTAAGAAGTTCTTTGAAAGTAATGAGAGTGAAGATATAACATGCCAGAATCTGTGGGACACAGCTAAGGCAGCGTTGAGGGAAATTCATAGTACTAAAATGTCTACATCAAAAAATTAGAAAAATCTCAAATTAATAACCTAACATCACAACTGAAAGAATTAGAGAAGGAAAAACAAATCAACCCAAACCTAGCAGAAGATGAGAAATAGTCAAAATCAGAGATGAAGTGAAGGAGATCAAGACACAGAATACCATTCAAAAGATCAACAATTCCAGGAGTTGGTTTTTTGAAAAAATTAGTAAGATATGTTGCTAGTTAAGCTAATAAAATAGAGAGAAGATCCAAATAAACCCAATTAGAAATTACCAAGGGGATGTTACCACTGACTAAAGAAATAAAAACAATAATCAGAAACTACTATGAACACCTCTATGCACACAGACTATAAAACCTACAATAGATGGATAAATTCCTGGACACATAGCCCCTCCTAAGACTGATCCAGGAAGAAACTGATTCCTGGAACAGACCCATGGGATCTCTGAAATTGAATCAGTAATAAATACCCTACCAGCAACAACAAAAGAAAGCCCAGGATCTGAGAGATCCATAGCTGAATTCTACCAGATGTACAAAGAGCTGGTACCACTCCTACTGAAACTTATTTCAAAAAATTGAGGAGGAGGGACTCCTCCCCAACTAATTATTTGAGGCCAGCATTATCCTGATACCAAAATCTGGCAGACACACACACACACACAAAAGAAAACTTTAGCCCAGTATTCTTTATGAATATCAATGCGAAAATCCTTGAAAAAATACTGGCAAACCAAATTCAGCAGCACATCAAAAAGCTAATCCACAGTGATCAAGTAGGCTTAATTCCTGGGATGCAGGTTTTGTTCAATATAGGAAAATTAAGTGTGATTTATCACATGAAGAACTGAAGACAAAAACCACATAATTATTTCAATAGATACAGAAAAGGCTTTTGATAAAATTTAACATTCCTTCATATTAAAAATTCTCAGTAAACTAGATATTGAAGGAACATGCCTCAGAATAATAAGAGTCATCTATGCCCAACTCACAGCCAACATAATACTAAATGGGTGAAAGCTGGAAGCATTCCCCTTGAAAACTGACACAAAACAGGGATGCCCTCTCTCACCATTCCTACTCAACACAGTATTGGAAGTGCTGGCCAGAGCAATCAGGAAAGAGAAAGAAATGGCAGAGAGGAAGTAAAACTATCACTGTTTGAACATGGCATGTTTCTGTATCTAGATAACCCTGTGTCTCGGCCCAAAAGCTCCTAGATCTGATAAACAACTTCAGTAAAGTTTCAGAATACAAAAATCAATATAAAAGAAAACACTAGCATTCCTATACACCACCAACAGCGAAACCAAGAGCGAATTCAGGAAGGTAGTCCCATTCACAACTGCCACAAAAAGAATAAAAACCTAGGAATACAGCTAACCAAGGGGGTGAAAGATCTCTATAATGAGAATTACAAAACACTGTTCAAAGAAATCAGAGAAGACACAAACACATGGGAAAAACATCCTATGTTGATAGATAGGAAGAATCAGTATCATTAAGATGGCCATACTGCTCAAAGGAATTTACAGACTCGATGCTGTTCCTGTCAAACTACCAACAACATTCTTCACAGAACTAGAGAAACCTTTTTTAAAAAATCATAATGGAACCAAAGAAAAGAGCCTGAGTAGCAAAGGCAATCCTAAACAAAAAGAACAAAGCTTTGAGGTATCATGTTACCTGACTTCAAGCTATACTACAGGGATACAGTAACCAAAACTGCATTGTACTGGTACAAAAACAGGCACATTGACCGATGGAATACAGTAGACAACCCAGAAATAAGACCACACGCCTACGACTGTCTGATCTTTGACAAACCTGACAAAAACAAGCAATGGGGAAAGGATTCCCTATTAAATAAATGGTACTGGCAGAACTGGCTATCCATATGCAGAAAATTGAAACTGGATTCCTTCCTTACATCATATATGGAAATCAACTCAAGATGGATTAAAGACTCAAATGTAAAACCCAAACCTCTAAAAACTGTGGAAGACAACCTAGGCAATACCATTCTGGACATAGGAATGGGCAATGATTTCATCACAAAGACATCAAAAGCAATCATAACAGAGTAAACAGACAACCTACAGAATAGGAGAAAATATTTGTAAACTGTGCATCTGAGAAAGGTCAATATCCAGCATCTATAAGGAACTTAAACAAATTGACAAGAGAAACACAACTCCATTAGAAGGTGGGTAAAGGACATGAGCACTTTTCAAAAGAAGACATACGTGTGGCCAGCTAACATGGTAAAAAGCTTAGTATCACTTGATTATTAGAGAAATCCAAATCAAAACCACAATGTAATACCATCTTAAACCAGTCAGAAGGGCTGTTATTAAAATGTCAAAAAAATAACATGCTGGTGAGGTTGCAGTGAAAAGGGAGCACTTATACACTATTGATTGGAGTGTAAATTAATTCAACCATTGTGGAAGGCAGTACTGTGCTTCCTCAAGGAGCTAAAAACAAGAACTGCCTTTCAACCCAGCAATCCCATTACTGGCTTTATAACCAGAGGAATATAAATCATTCTATGATAAAGGCACATGCATGCAAATGTTCATTGCAGCATTATTCACAATAGCAAAAACATGGAATCAACCCAAATGCCCATTAGTGACATATTAGATTAAGAAAACGTGGTATATATGCACAATGGAATACTGTGTAGCCATAAAAAGTAATGAAATGTATTTTGCAGGAACATGGGTGGAGCTGGAGGCCATTATCTTTAGCAAACTAACACAGGAATAGAAAACCAAATACTGCATGTTCTCACTTATAAGTGGGAGCTAAATGATGAGAACTCATGAACACAAAGGGAACAACAGACACTGCCGTCTTCAGGGTGAAAGGTGGGAGGAGGGAGAGGATCAGAAAAAATTATTGGGTACTAGGCTTAGTACCTGGGTGATGAAATAATCTGTACAGCAGAGCCCTTGAGTTTACCTATATGACACAGTTGTTTATGTACTCCCAAACCTACAGTGAAAGTTAAAAAACAGAAAGATTGAATGCTGGAACACTCTGTTAAAAGTAGGGTGGAAATAAAAGGGTGAATGTGGTATATAATGGAAGCCTAATGAAAAAAATTTTTCAAAGAGGGAAAAGGAATGATCACCAATGTCAAATACTGCTGATAAAGTATGACAAAGATATGAAAACCGACCACTGAATTAAGCATTGTGACCTTCACTAAAGCAGTCAGGACATGAATGGCTCAAGAAATCAGCATATTTGAATACTATGTAATCTGGTTTCTTTAGCTGTATCCTCCCTAACTCAGAATTAATGCTTAAAAAGCCCTAATTCTTAGAACATTTCCAGGAGATTGAAATCAGTTTTTCACACTTACATGTATAATTTTTTTTCCTTAACAGTTTTCAGGCATTGCTTTTGTTTATCTCCATACCAACTGAGCTGTAGTGCTTTTTCATTTGTATGTTAATTCCTATTAAGACTAGAGACCTAAAATTGTTATAGTTGAAAGGGACTATGGGCCCACTTGAATTTTATTGTTATTTATCTGGTATGTCTGATATTTTGTTACTTACTCTTAATTGCATATGAATTTAATTATTTAGTAAATTATCAATTTTTTTAAAAAAACAGAAATATGTTGGTGAAGTCTTTGACATCGTCAGTCAACAATCAACAGCCAGGCCAGGATGCATTATTGCATTAGATCCTATTACCAAACTTGTAAGTATTAATTTTTTGGGGGGGAGGTATATTAAAGAGTTTATGAAAGCATTTTGCATACAATCCATATATTGATAGAATTTGTTAATTTGCTATATAATTACAGGTAAAGTAGATTCAGTAATTAACTCATCACTTAGTAGGTAACATACTATTGTACATTTTACTTTCTAGACTTCAAACTAGAAAATGAATTATAGTCTTCATTACTATATTCACAACCAAGTAAATTTTAAAACTTTGACTCTTAAACACATTACAAATATTAGCATTATGTTACCATTAGATTTAATAAAGTGATGTTAGGTTCCTCATCCATGGCTATGAAAATCACTGAAAAGAAAACTACGTTGCAATTTGTGGCTAAATGAAAGACATTGGTGGATATTATTTCTTACTTATAAAGACTCATTGTAATGAAAGTAAATAATTTTTACCTAAATTTTTTATTTTCATCTGTTTAATCTAATGGAGGTACCATAGACTTATATTCTGCTGAACTTTTGACTTCTTATTCCACCTTTAAATATCTCATTATGAAGTATTATGTTTCTGGCTATTTAGCACTAGGTAAATAACATATGTCAATTACGTTGGTATTTATTTATATTCAGCATGGCAGAAAAACCCAACTGCTTCATGTTTTTCAAGAAGACTTCATTTTGAATAACCTTGAGAAGAAAAGTCTTGGTAAAGATAGCATTTTATCTAATGCAGGTAAGGAAGAATTATTTATGTTTATGTAATGAGAAATACTATGTACTGTATGTTAGGCAGTTAACAAAGATGAATTCGTAAAATGTTTTACATTGTTTATTTGAAGTAAAAATTGTTCGGGGTAGGTTATTTAAACTTGGCATATTTAGCAAGTTGTCTCTTTTTATACATGTTAACAGTGAAAATATCATTAATACCAACAGGCAGCTCACCTAATGGATTTTCTGAGAAGTTCTACCTAATTGTAATAGAGTGCACTCAAGACAACCGTTCATTATTACACATGTGGAATTTACATCTAAAGTCAATTCCTGTCTCATTGGGTGAGTCTTGTGTGTGTGTTTGTGTGTGTGTAACTTTAAGTAGGTATAAGTTAACAGATTACACAAAATTAGACAATTTGGGTCATATTTCTTAAAGCCATCTCAAGTAGTGAAAGCTGTAGATTATTCAATTAATTCAAAAAGCTTTTTCTTATTTTCTGTAAAGAATCATACTAATGTGTTTACTATTTTATCGTTTATAAGGCAATTTTGGATTGTGAAATGTAGCAATTGTAATATTTGTAGGGTTCCTCTGCCTCAGTTTTTGGTTCTTATGTTTTATAGAAGAAAAAGTAGATACAAAATTATCTGAAGCAGTTTGGCAGCCAGAAGAACATTATTCTTCTTCTCCAGAGAAGATCCCATCTCCATTTTCACAAAAGTATGAGGCTTGCAGAGCAAATCTCCAGAGTACAAGCAAGTTGACTCTGTTTTCAGAAATGGTTTATAGCCAAGAATTGCATTTGCCAGAAGGAGTTGAGATAATAAGTATTAAGCCATCAGCAGGTTTGTAAATTTTATGAAAGACTAATTTTATAACACATGAGTATTTGCCAGGTATTTAAAAATAGGTGCTGCACTACCTCTTAAATCCACACAGAACCAGAAATGGAAATAATATATTCAAGTACCCTAAATTGAAGACTTATATTTCTCATTATGTTTTCAGATTACCCTGACATTTGTCAGCCAGTTCTAATCTTAAATATTGATTTCTAAAACAAATTTTCTTTGTCTTTTTGGGACAGTTTTTGACAGTTTCTAGAGCAAAGATGGCAACTAAGTTGTACCTTATTTGCAGACTTTGATGGTATTGGCAATAGTTGCCTGGAGCCGTGATTCTGAGTGTTTGGTTTCTGCTATATATTTATTATCCTTATTCTAAAGCAGTGGTTTTCAAAGTGTCCCCAGGCCAGCAGCATCAGTGTCCTGGAAACTTGTTAGAAATGAAAATTCTTGGGCCACCCCGGGTTACTGAATCTCAAACTTTGGGATGAGGCCCAGTGGCCTGGTCTTACAAACCTTCCAAGTGATTTTATGAATACAAAAGGTCAAGAACCTCTGTTCTGGAGTATCAAGAACACTAATCAGAAATAAAAATCAAGGTCCCTGTTTTAGGAAACTAATAGTACATGATTACTTTAAGCCTAAGCAAATGTTAAGTTCCAGTTAGGAATTTTCTCAGCATCTGTTATATCAAGTATACCTCAATTATAAAGGGCCCTGTAAAGTGACCATTTAGTACTTAAGTAAACATGGACCATTCACATTTATATTGAAAAATGTGAAAGAAGGAGCCAGTGAGTGTTGACAAATTTTTTTTAAATGTACTGATAACTTTAAAATTAGATTTATAAGGTATAAAACCAGCAAAGAGTTGTGAAACAAATTCTGGATTAAGAATCAGAACTAGAGTTCAAGTTTTTAAATTCTGCCTATGACTAGTTGTTTGATTTAGGCCCAAGATGTTTAACCCATAAAATGCAGGAATTGAAGTAAATTATCTCAGAGTTCCCTTTCAGCTCTAGGTTTTGGTGATGCTTTCTTTTTATATACCTTTCCGATGTCACTAAAAGCCTCTTTCTTACTATTCTTGCTGCCCCTTCTTAACCTAACTAAATATAGTCTGTCATGTTCTTAACAGTAATTAATACAAAGAGACTAAAACCTTTAGTAAAAAAACAGAAGTATTTAACCAAATTTGATGTTTTGTTAATGGATTATTTTTATTTTAGGACATCTAAGTTCATCTTCTATATATCCTGCATGCAGTGCTCCTTATTTATTGGCAACTTCATGTTCAGATGAGAAAGTAAGATTCTGGAGATGCAGAGTAACAGATGGAGAATCTGCTACATCAAAGAATGGAAAAATTGATCTTGCATACATTTGGGAAGAATGGCCATTACTTATTGAAGATGGACTTCAGAGCAATAGTAGTATAACTGTACCTGGTAGACCTGTAGAAGTTAGCTGTGCGCATACAAATCGTTTAGCAGTAGCTTATAAGCAGCCTGCATCTAATAGTAGATCTTCCCAGGACTTTGTGATGCATGTAAGTATTTTTGAATGTGAGTCAACAGGAGGTTCATGTTGGGTCCTTGAACAGACAATTCATTTAGATGAGTTAAGCACAGTATTGGATTCTGGCATTAGTGTTGATAGTAATTTAGTGGCCTATAATAAACAAGAAATGTATTTATTTAATAAAGAGAATATCACGTCAAACACAAAGCATTTAGTTCACTTAGATTGGATGTCTAGAGAAGATGGTTCTCATATCCTGACTGTAGGAATTGGATCAAAACTTTTTATGTATGGACCCCTGGCTGGCAAAGTACAAGAACAGACTGGTAAGGAAAGCCTCGCATTTCCCCTCTGGGAGAGTACTAAAGTTGTGCCCCTTTCTAAATTTGTACTGTTACGAAGTGTGGACTTGGTTTCTTCTGTAGATGGCTCCCCACCTTTTCCTGTTTCTTTATCGTGGGTCCGGGATGGCATCCTTGTGGTAGGAATGGACTGTGAAATGCATGTGTATTCCCAATGGCAGCCATCTTCTAAACAAGAACCTGTTATAACAGATTCATACAGTGGGAGTACTCCATCTATAACAAGTTTAATAAAACAGAGTAACTCCAGTTCTGGGTTACATCCTCCAAAGAAAACTCTGACTCGATCCATGACCAGCCTTGCACAGAAAATCTGTGGAAAGAAAACTGCATTCGATCCTTCTGTGGATATGGAAGATTCAGGTCTTTTTGAAGCAGCTCATGTACTTTCCCCGACTCTACCTCAGTATCATCCCTTGCAGCTTTTGGAACTCATGGATCTTGGTAAAGTTCGGAGAGCCAAGGCCATCTTGTCACATCTTGTTAAGTGCATTGCTGGGGAAGTTGTGGCTCTGAATGAAGCTGAATCTAATCATGAACGCCGCCTTCGGTCTCTCACAATCAGTGCTAGTGGAAGCACTACCAGAGACCCCCAGGCATTCAACAAGGCCGAAAATACAGATTACACAGAAATAGATTCTGTTCCTCCACTTCCTTTATATGCATTACTTGCGGCGGATGATGATAGCTGTTACTCATCTTTGGAGAAATCTAGTAATGAGAGTACCTTAAGTAAATCAAACCAGTTGTCAAAAGAAAGTTATGATGAGCTTTTTCAGACCCCACCTCTAATGACTGATATTCATATGTTAGAGACAGATGAAGAAAATACAAAGCCTAGAGTTATCGACCTTTCACAATACAGTCCAACTTACTTTGGACCTGAGCATGCTCAGGTTCTTTCTGGCCACTTACTTCATTCTAGTTTACCAGGGCTCAGCCGGATGGAGCAGATGTCTTTGATGGCCTTAGCAGATACAATTGCAACTACAAGCACTGATATTGGAGAAAGCAGAGACAGAAGCCAAGGTAAAACCAAAATCCATACTGATAACAAATTTTACTTATTTTCATAGAAAATAATTTTAAATAATTTTTATTAAAATGATAACATTAGCTAGGCACAGAGGCTTATGCCTGTAAATTCAGCTCTCTGAAAGGCTGAGGCAGGAGGATCACTTGAACCTACGAGTTTAAGACCAACCTAGGCAACAAAGTGATACCCCCATCTCTATGAAAAGCAAAAAACTAGCCAGGTATGGTTCCTCACACCTATAGTCCTAGTGACTCAGGAGGCTGAGGTGGAATGATGCTTGAGTCCAGGAGGTTGAGACTGCAGTGAATTGATTGTGCCGCTGCACTACAGCCTGGACGGTAGAGCAAGACCCTGCCTCTTAAAAAAGTATCGTAAAGGTTTTTTTTGGAAACATCTTTGCTACCTTTAATAGTACATATTAAGGGTTTGCTGTTTATGATAGTTTTGGTGGGGGGAGCGTGGTGGTAGCTAACCGAGACTATCATAAACAGCAAACCCTTAATATGTGCTATTTATCCCATAAATGATAGTACTAGCAGGCTAGGCATGGTGGTGCATGCCTGTAATCCCAGCATTTGGGGAGAGCAAGGCTGGTGGATCATGAGGTCAGGAGTTCCAGACCAGCCTGATCAACATGGTGAAACCCCATCTCTACTACAAATAGAAAAATTAGCCAGTGTCCCAGCCACTCAGGAGGCTGAGGCAGGAGAAGCGCTTGAACTTGGGAGTTGGAGGTTGAACTTGGAGGTTGCAGTGAGCTGAGATTGCACCACTGCACTCCAGCCTGGACAAGACTCCAACTCAAAAAAAAAAAAAAAATTATAGTACTTCGAGTAAGTGTACAAAGACTCATTATGCCAGTCATTTTTACTAATTGTCTGTTTAATAATACAAAAGATCCAACTGAATCTTTTTGAGTTTAGTAAAACTTAACAGATTCTTATTAAACAATTATTTTAGGTACCTAAAAATAAAAGATGGTTTCTGGTTTTTTTTCCTCATTATGTAATAATCCACTATTAACAATTATAATTTGGTTTTTAAAACGTTGAGGTTTTTTTTTTTTTTTTTTTAAATAAGCATTAGTGTATACTCCTGCCTAGAAAAGCATAATATAATTAGGTCTTTTCCTCATCCAGAGAGCATTAAAAAAAAAAAAACAAACAAAAACCACTGAATTATGAGCAGATTCCCATCAAATCTCAAGTTCTGAAATGAACAAATTGAGCCTTGTGGGCCGTGTATGTGTCAGTATACCTTTGAGCTAAGCTAGAAAGGAAAGTGTATGGTAAATTTAATGTAGTAATCAAATTTAAATTTAAGAAAAAAACAAGTTGGTTGTGAATCTTGACACTTTAAGAGATATTACCAGTAGATACTATTTTTGATGTGAATATGTTATAGGTGTTTTATGTTTTTAGTTTTTGCTTCAAGGAAAAAATATCAAATCCTCCCACCATGGAACTATTTCTTCCAGTGTTAACAGCAGATTACTGGGGTGGGTGTATGATTTGAATAAATCGTATTGATTAAAAATATTCTTATACGTGTACCACAGAGAAGGTTAAACTATTCAAAAATCAATCACATTTTAATTTAAATAAGATTTCGGTCAGACTTATTGAGTACTCTATAAATACATGCAATTTTAATGTGTCAAATTACCATTTAAAAATTTTTCTAATGAGAATTTGGCTTAGCAAGGTGACTCATGCCTATAATCCCCAGCACTTTGAGAGGCTGAGGCAGGCAGATCACTTGAGATCAGGAGTTCAAGACTAGCCTGGCCAATGTGGTGAAACCCCATCTCTATTAAAAATACAAAAATTAGCTGGGTGTGGTGGCATAATAGATTATATTTGTAAATCTATAAATAGATTATAAAGAGTTTCGTAGAGTCTCTTTATTCTTTTTCCAATTGTTTATGTTATTTTTTTCTTTCATGTGAAATTGTTTAGAAAAAAAGAAATGTTAGAAAATATTTAAGACTGATAACTTTTTTTTTGGTCAGGTTAAGAATGTTATGTGCCTATATTTGTTGTTCGTTTGCTTATAATTTTTTTTAATACATTGTTCCCCCTTTCTCCCATTGCAGGTGGAGAAACTCTTGATGAATGTGGGTTAAAATTTCTTTTGGCTGTTCGACTCCATACCTTTCTTATAACTTCCCTTCCAGCCTATCGAGCTCAGCTTCTTCACCAAGGTGATTTTGATAGTAATTATTAAAGGGAAATAAAGCAACTAGAAAATGAGAGACTTGTGAATTTTTAAACTTGTTTTTTGCCCAGACATGATCATGATGACAAATTTGACACATTTTAAGTTTCCTTTATTTGTTAAAATGTTTATTTCCTCATAATCTTCTTTGCTTAAAACATTGGAATTTTTAATGGTAGACAAAAGGAGTTAATGAAGAAACGGATACTGGGAAATTGGATATTCTGTGTTATGTGTTTAAATACATGATATGTTCCAGGCAAATTAGTATTGTTTCTTTAGATTGTCTTTTTTCTCCTTTGATATTTACCTAAAGTCAGTTTTTCTGCCAAACTTTTAATAATATTTTTGTTATAATACATTCTCAAATTTTAAATGTTTCACAAAGAGTACAGAATATTGAAAGTGTAAATTTACCCACCCTTAAAACTACTGATTAATATATGTATTTGAGATATTAGTTTAGTATATTTCACGTATTCTATATTGAGTGCTGTATTTCAGATTCTGTTACTGTTCTCTTATTTTGAACTATCTTAGACTTTGAACTGTCAGCGTAATTTAATAGATTCTACTGAACGATTATTTTAGGTACCTGAAAATAACGTTGTCTTAGACAGATCAAAGTAAGAGAAATCTCACCTAAGTTCACTTAAACAAAACAGCATGTTTTTTTTCACTTCATCTCCCAACAAGTTCAAGAAATAGAGCTGGCTTTCAGCATTCTTGGATCTATAGGTTTAAACAGTGTTATTGGGACTTTGCAGTTTAGCATTTTAGCCTTTGCTCCTTGGTTTCAGTCTTTTGCTTACACCTTTTGTCTCTGACTCTTTGCTTCGCTGTCTGTTTTCTTTCTCTCATTTTGCATTTAGCTTTGAAAAACGTAAAGCTGAAAATTCTCTATCAAATTCGTTTTAGTTTTTTGTTTGTTTGTTTTTTGAGGTAGAGTCTTGCTTCGTCACCCAGGCTGGAGTACAGCAGTGCGATTTCTGCACACCAGAACCTCCACCTCCTGGGTTCAGGTGATTCTTCTGCCTTAGCCTCCTGAATAGATGGATCTACAGGCACACATTCCCATGCCTGGCTAATTTTTATGTTTTTAATAGAGATGGGGTTTCACCACATTGACCAGGCTAGTCTTGAACTCCTGACCTCAAGTTATCCGCCTGCCTCAGTCTCCCAAAATGCTGTGGATTACAGGTGTAAGCCACCTTACCAGGCCAAATTGTCTTTAAAATTTTTAAATTGTAATTTGACACATTAAAATTGTATGTATTTATGGGGCACAGAGTAATGTTATGATATATGTATACAAAGTGAAATGATTAAATCAAACTAAGGAACATATTCATCACTTCAGATATGTAACATATTTGTGTTAATATTTAAAATGCACTCTCAATAGTATTGAAATAGACAATACACTATTATTAAAGGTAGTTACCATGCTGTACAGTAGATCTCAAAAATGTATTCCTCCTGACTGAAACTTTGTATCGTTTGAACAATGTCTTCCTTCTCCTCCTGACCCTAGCCTTGGACAAACACCATTTTATTCTCTTTTTCTTTGATTTCAGTTGTATTAGGTTCCACACATAAGTGAGATCACATAGTATTTGTCTTTCTATGACTGGCTTATTTCACTTACTGTAATGTCCTCCAGGTTAATCGTTGTTGTTGCAAATGACAAGGTTTTCTTTTCTTTTCTTTTTTTCTTTTTTTTTTTTTGAGACGAACTTTTACTCTTGTTGCCCAGGCTGAAGTGCGATGGATCTCAGATCCCTGCAACCTCCGCCTCCCGGGTTCAAGCGATTCTCCTGCCTCAGCCTCCTGAGTAGCTGAGATTACAGGTACATGCCCCCACATTTTTTGTATTTTTAGTAGAGACAGGGTTTCTCCATGTTGGTCAGGCTGGTCTTGAACTCCTGACCTTAGGTGAGCCGCCATGCCCAGCCTCAGATTTCCTTTTTTAAGGCTGAATGTACTCCATTGTATGTACAGGCATACTTCTTTTTAATTGTGCTTTGCCAGGTTGTATTTTGCAAATACAGCAGTTTTTACAAATTGAAGCATTGTGGCAACCCTTTCTTGAACAAGTCTATCAGCACCATGTTTCCAACAGCATGTGTTCACTTCACGTCTCTGTGTCTCATTTTGGTAATTCTCACAATATTTCAAACTTTTTCTGTGATCTCTGATCAGTGATTTTTGTTACTATTGTAATGGTTTGGGGGTGCCATGAAGTGTGCCTATGTAGGACAATGAATTTAATCAGTAAATGTTGTGTGTGCTGTGGCTACAACACTGATCAGCCATTCCCCTGTACTTCATCTGCTCAGACCTCCCTATTCACTGAGACACAACGATATAGAAATTAGGAGACTGGGCACTGTGGTTTACCTAAAGATTACACCTATAATCCCAGCACTTTGGGAGCCTGAGGCAGGCGGATCACCTGAGGGCGGGAGTTTGAGACCAGCCTGACCAACATGGAGAAACTCCATCTCTACTAAAAATACAAAATGAATGGGACATGGTGGTGCATGCCTGTAATCCCAGCTACTGGCGAGGCTGAAGCAGGAGAATCTCTTGAACCCAGGAGGTGGAGGTTGCGGTGAGCCGAGATCACACCATTGCTCTCCAGCCTGGGCAACAAGAGCGAAACTTCATCTCAGAAAAAAAAAAAAAAAAAAGAAAAAGAAATTGGGACACTTTAACAATACCACCTTGTCTTCTAAGTGTTCAAGTAAAAGGAAGAGCTGTATCTGTTACCTTAAATCAAAAGCTAGAAATGACTAAGCTCAGTAAGGAAGGCATGTCAAAAGCCGAGACAGGCTGAAAGCTAAGCCTTGTGCCAAACAGTTTACAAAATTGTAAATGCAAAGGGCAAGGTCCAAAGGAAACTAAAAGTTCTACTCCACTGAACACATGAATGATAAAAACGTGAAGTAGCCTTATTGCTTATGTGGAGAATGTTTGAGTGGTCTAGATAGATCGAACTAGCTGTAAGATTCCCCTAAGCCAAAGCTTAATCCGGAACAAGGCTCTAACTCTTCTTAATTTTGTGAAAGCTGAGAGAGGAGAGGAAGCTGCAGAATTAAAGTTTGAAGCTAGCAAAGATTGGTCCCTGAGGTTTAAGGAAAGAAGCCATCTCCATAAACTACAAGTACAAGATGAAGCTAGATCTTCTGGATAACATGCTGAAGCTTCTACCTCAGTTAGCACTTGTTTCAGCATGTTATCTGGAAGATCTAGTTCAGATAATTGATGAAGGTGGCTACATGAACAGATTTTTAGAGTAGATGGAACAGCCTTCTGTTGGAAGATGCCATCTAGGACTTTCATAGTTAGAGAGAAGTCAATGCCCAGCTTCAAAGCTCCAAAGGACAGGCTGACTCTTGTTAGAGCCTAATGCAGCTGGTATCTAAGTTGAAGCCAGTGCCCATTTACCACTCTGAAAATCCTGGAGTCTTCAAGAATTATGCTAACCCTACTCTGCCTATGCTCTACAAATGGAAAAACAAAGCCCAGATGGCAGCACCTCTGTTTGCAGCATAATTTACTGAATATTTCCAGCCCACTATTGAGACCTACTATTAAGAAAAAAGGTTTCCTTGCAAAATATTGCTGTTATTAACAATGATCTGTTCATGCAAGAGCTCTGATGCAGATGTAAAAGGAGATAAATACTGTTTTCATTCCTGCTAATGCACATTCATTTTGCAGTTCATGAACCAAGGAATGCTTCCAACTTTTAAGTCTTACCATTTAAGAAATACATTTCATAAGGCTATCGCTGCTATAGATAATGATTCCTCTGATAGATCTGGACAAAGTAAATTGAAAAATTGCTGGAAAGACTTCACCATTCTAGATGCCATTAGGGACATTTGCAATTCATCAGAGGAAATCAACATGTCAGCATTACCAAGAGTTTGGAAGAAGTTGATTCCAGTCTTCACAGATGACTTTGAGGGGGGTGAGCCTTCAGTGGAAGAAGTAATTGCAGATATGGTAGAAATAGCAAGGGAACGAAAATTAGAAGTAGATCCTGAAGATGTGACTGAATTGCTGCAGAGTTGAGCATGATGACTCATGCCTGTAATCCTAACACTTTGGGATATTGAGGTTGGAGGATTCTTGAGGCCAGGAGTTTAGGTCCAGCTGAGGCAACATAGTGAGACTTCATCTCTGAAAAAAATTTAGGTGGGTTTAGTGACACATGCCTGTAGTCCTAGCTACTAGCTGCTCAGGGGGCTGAATGGAAATATCAATTGAGTCCAGGAGTTCAAGACTTCACTGAGCTGTGATCACACCACTGCACTCCAGCTGGGCAACAGAAGGAGACCCTGTCTAAAAAAAAAGCAAAATTTCAACAGACAAGGAGTTTCTTAAAGGATGAGCAATGAATGTGGTTTCTTAAGGTGGAATCTATTCCTGGTGAAGATGCTGTGAACATGGTTGAAATGACAACAAAGGATTTAGAATATTCTGTAAACTTAGTTGATAGAGCACCAAGAGCACTGGCAGGGTTTGAGAGAGGACTGACTCCAACTTTGAAAGAAGTTCTAAATTCTATCAAATACAATTACATGATACAGAGAAATCTTACATAAAAGGAGGAGTCCATCTATGTGGCAACTTTATTTTCTTATTTTAAGAAATCGCTACAGCCATCCCAGCCTTCAGTAAGCTCTACCCTGACCAGTCAGCAGCCGGTAACATCAAGGCAAGATTGTCCACTAGCAAAGATTATGACTTGTTTGAGGCTCAGATGGTTGTTACATTTTAGCAATAATGTATTTTTAAATTAAGGTATGTACACTCATTTTAGACATGCTTTGCACAGTTAACAGGCCACAGTATGATGTAACCATAAATTTTATGTGCACTGGGAAACAAAAAATTGTGTTACTCGTTTTATTGCAGTGTTTGCTTTACTGTGGTAGTCTGAAATCCAACCCATGGTCCTCCAAGGTATGCCTG